ATCCCAAGCCAGAGGCCGGCAATTCCCAGACTGATTCCTGAGTCTGTACGAGCGTAGGAGATACTGGAGCTCAGGAAAAGTGGAGACCTTAACACCAGTAGTAGATGGCAGCCAGATACATGGCTAAGGTAGTACCCGTTAGTTTCTTCATAGAACGTAAGTGCTGAAGAAACTCTGAAAACTGAGCATAAGCAGGAGTAGGGGATGGAACACCCGTCACCTTGCAATAGCCTTTAAACCTCTTCCACTTGTCATCGTATAAGGAACGAGTGGATGTGCCGAAGTGATAGCGGACATCTCCCTGGTGGTCGATAGTTCCTGGATTAATCTGGGTAGAAGGGCCAGTGGAGGAAACGCGGTTTACAAGCGTTGAGGCCTTCCCACAAGATTGCCAGTGTGTCTAACCTGGTCGTGAACATATCCACCTCAGGCCTACCATACAAATGGTGAACAAATCATCAAAACTGAACTCATATACACCAAAACAGAACAATAATCACCAAAACTGCAACAATATCCTCTAAAACCGAAACAATACATCTGTAATGGAAGACTAATCGTTTGAAATGGAAACAAAACTCGCGTATCAGCTACAAATGCGCGCAAGAACGGTTGCCGAGCATACAAAACGGCATTCATAGCATCCCAACACAGCATTCATAGCATCCCAAAATGGCATACAAATCGTCAAAGATGGCAGCGAGGGGAGACGAATAGGCTTTGGTACATAATGTTTTTCGTCACTATGAGTCTAATCTTGAAAATTTGATATCGGGATGTAGCGCATAAACCCCCTATTGTAGTAAGCTTCAAACCTATGTCCATACTTCTCAGTGTCAGGCTTGCAATTCTGCACAATGTGGTCCCTCGCTCGACCGAATAGGATTTCTTGTCAACATGCCGTGGTGCTGTTTCACTTCAGTTTTGTAAATAAAGTGTTCATAGCGTCACATTCAACATAACTATATTTTAGTGATTTAAAAAGTTTACAAAAACTTTGTTCATTTTCCATGAATTGCATATAAGTGATCATTTTTAAAGTGTACAAGTGCAAACTCAATCCATTGATTAGGGCAGGTATTTCTGTTTCAAGTCCACAGCAGGCGACTTCTTGAGACTTACAATAACAAAGACGGACGCATGTTTGTGCCTCAAGTTAAGCTTTATTTTTTGTTAAATGATGTCAAATGTTTGGGATTGCATGGAATACTTTGAAGTACATGGAAAAGATAAAATTGCAGAATGATAAAATCTTCCTGACACACAATTCACAGTTGAAATTATAAGCAAGTTCATGTTTCTTTCTCTAATGAGAACACAATGTTACCCGATTTTTTAACTTCTCTTTATATGGCATACACTCAAACGTTGGAATTTTGGGAAGGTTCGGTATGACAGAGATATCTGAAAGAAATATATTCACTGAATGACTTCATAAAAGTAAGATGAAACTAGAAGATCTTCGTCTGAGAACATGACCATACGTGCAGTGTGAAGCGGTGGCATACAAACATACAAACTAAGAAGAATATGTCAGATGACGAGAGGACTGACACGTCTCTCTCAGGAATCTGTGAATACAAGTTTAAGAAATTAAACAAGAAGACAAAGTCATCAATATCCCCCGCAATGGCAAAATACTCTTCATGATTAGGTCTACGAGTTATGATTATGTCAAATATTTAGGTGTGTATATAGAAAAGTGGAAGGAGAGTATTGAAAGGTTTTTAAAGTTCTGCTCCAGAAAAGGACTGACTGCCCGAGTTTTGGGTTTACGCCGCTTTTTGCAATATCCCAGCAACATCACGGCGGGGGACACCAGAAATGGGCTTCACACATTGTACCCATGTGGGGATTCGAACCCGGGCCTTCGGCGTGATGAGCCAACGCTTTAGCCACTAGGCTACCCCACCGCCCCCCTCCAGAAAGGAGCACTATCACCAATTTCAGTCTATGTCAAACTTGTTGCCATGGAAATGCCAAAAATATTTTTTCAGAAATCCAAAACTACCAAAAGGTACCAGTACACCACCAGATCTATGTATGTGCCAAGTTTGGTGAAGAAACATTGAACGGTTTTAGAGTTCTGCTCCGGAAAAGGGCACTACCACTAATTTCTGTTTTAGTCAAACTTGTTGCCATGGAAACGCCAAAAATATTTTATTCAGACTTCCAAAACTACCAAAAGGCACCAGTACACCACCAGATCTATCTATGTGCCAAGTTTGGTGAAGAAATATTGAACGGTTTTAGAGTTCTGCTCCGGAAAAGACAAATGTACACGGAAGGACGGACGGACGGACAGACGGAGTCCATTTTAATACCCCCCGCAAAACGTGTTGCAGGGGATAAAAAAGACAGTTTGGGAAGTCAAAGTAGAAATGATCACTTAGATATGCAATTCACAGAGAATGAACAAAGTTTTTGTAAACTTTTTAAATCACTAAAATATAGTAATGTTGAATGTGATGCTATGAAAACTTTATTTACAAAACTGAAGAGAAACTGTAGCCCGGCATGTTGACAAGAAATCTTATTCGGTCGAACGAGGGACCACATTGTGCAGAATTGCAAGCCTGACACTGAGAAGTATGGACATAGGTTTGAAGCTTACTACAATAGGGGGTTTATGCACTACACCCCGATATCAAATTTTCAAGATTAGACTCATAGTGACGAAAAACAATTATGTACCAAAGCCTATTCGTCTCCCCTCGCTGCCATCTTTGACGATTTGTATGCCGTTTTGGGATGCTATGAATGCCGTTTTGTATGCTCGGCAACCGTTCTTGCGCGCTCTTGTAGCTGATACGCGAGTTTTGTTTCCATTTCAAACGATTAGTCTTCCATTACAGATGTATTGTTTCGGTTTTAGAGGATATTGTTGCAGTTTTGGTGATTTTTGTTCTGTTTTGGTGTATATGAGTTCAGTTTTGATGATTTGTTCACCGTTTGTATGGTAGGCCTGCACCTGTGGTCTGGAGATGGGTAAACCACCGGAATATCTGGGGAGCAGCTTCCACTCCGTTGCTGACGGCCGGTCGGATCGGGACAGGCGTCGACAATGATGTTCTTGGACTGAAGTGCCCAATGCAACGAACCTGTTGATCCAATGTGGTTGATATACCAGACCACTGTCAAGTTGTCTGGCTGAATCAATAGACTGGAGGACTGAAGCTCCTGCTCCCAATGGTTAATGGCCAGAATAACTGCTTTTAACTCCAAATCGTTGATATGCAGGGCCTGTTCTTGAACCCTCATTTAAGTTTCTTTTATCTATTTGTAGTGCAAGCTGGCAGATTTCCAGTTTGTCATCATTAGGCTGAGATTAGATGGGCTAAATGAGCATTCGATAAAACTGTTCTCCTTACAGGCAACAATAAATTCTAGTTGAATAGTTGTTCTGGTAATTTTGCTGGATAGATTCCTGCATATTTTGTTGTGTCCAACTTGGTTGTCGGGGAGATCTACCACTTTCATGAGCTTGTCTATTGATTTGGATTGCTGGATACCCATCTGAACTCCTGAAGCTGAATGAAGACAGTAGAGCTGTGACGATATATCTTAGTATCGATAATCGTGATACTTTATCTGACGATAAATATATCGATATGTTTTTTCGTATCGTGATATGTATCATTGACCTTAAAATTCAAAAGGGACAGCCAGGTGTTCGGCACAGCACAGGTTAATGAATAAATAACTTTGTCTGTGAACATGCTTCTCGAACACCTGGCTGTCCCTTTCTCTGCACTCCTCCCTCGTAACAAACAGTGAACTGTGTCAATATTTTAATGATAGATTGTTAAACAACTTTTTTATTTTTAGGACAAAAATTCTGCAAAAACCTCACAGAGTTGGTATGATGTTTTGATTATGATCAGCGTTTCATTGAGTATTTTATGTTTATTAGTTTTCGAGTTAGATTGCAATTCATTGGTCCGCTTTTGAGCCAAACGGACTATACCTGTGAACTGCCGGATGAACTTCACAGGCTAAATGATGACATGTAGTGATGGTTTCAGTAAATGAAGATGCCTCTTAAATTTAACATGGTGTTAAAAAAGGTGACTTCTAAAAATATTTTATGCACTGTGACTTACCATTGATACCATTAGATTGTCATCACTTTTCAGGCACATATTCAAATAATAAACTACTACATGCATAACACATAAAAAGGCATTATACTGAATCTGATAAACAAACATACTTTACAAATGACTTTCACTCAAAACAAAACCTATTCAGATTGCAGCCTTGCCACCAGGATGACCATCTATAAGTTTCATGGACATACAGTAAAATTACCTGAGTTGAACAGTCTTGAAGCATTATCTAAATAAACATTTTTTTTAGGCTCTGACCTTAACTACTGATATGACTGGTCAAAGAGCCATGTGGTCTTTGTAAGTACAGAAGCAGCAAAACAAAAAACATAAAACAGCATTTACTCTGAGCAACTTCCATACCTCCCTTAAAGCTGATATTCAGTCATAATGATATGTGTGTCAGTCAATGTTCGAAATAATCGCCGGCCCGGAGGCCCAGCGCTGGTTATAGTTTTGGGACGTCAGTTTCAAATATGTGCAGGCCCTTGTGGCCTTCAGTAAATTATATGTCTTTTTTTCAACTGGAATCTTTCCCTTTTTTTTTCTTTTTTTCTTTATTAACGTTTGGGAATCATCCATGTTCCATCTTGTTACGATAACTTAGTTTCACTTCCTGGTAGTTCAGCGCTTTGCGCATAGGAATGTCAACACCAGTCTTTAACAAATAAATACGTCTCTCTGCGCCACAGGTTTCGCTAATTGATTTTGTAGAAACAGTGTGAAACTGTGTACAGAGTAGTCTTTTTGGTTTTTATTGGTTTGACTTTAACAAAATGGGCCTGCAGATTTTATTTTGGGACTGTTGGCCAACTGGCAAATTAAAGTATTGCAAACACTGGTGTCAGTTTGTAAATAGATGTTATAATAACTTATATTCAGTTATCTCACCGGCCACAGCTGTCTTCACTGTCAACATAAGCCCCTTGACTGAGCAGCAGATGACATAGATCCTCTCTTTTCCCCATGACAGAGTTGTGCAAAGGGGATAAACCCTCCTGTAGAAATGAAAATTAGAATTACTCACGAGTGCCAAAGCTAATGTGTTTCAACATGTATGCATACATGACGCCATATATGACAGAATTAATTTGAAGGTCAGGAACAAAGCTGTTTTGGGCATTCTTTGCCACCCTGAAGACAAGGAAGTATTGTATGTGCAGTCACATGTGATGTATATTGCTCTGGGCTGAAGGTTTACTCTCATAACATAATATATATGGCGAGGGTCATGATACATCGATGTATCGCCACCAGAGACAATATATCCCCATACTAAAATACTACCTATTGCATTAGGAATAGAAAGGGAGTCTCTTTGAAATTCTTCTGAAGTTTAATAACAAACTAAACCTTACAGGAATTTGTTTGTGTCTGCTATATTTGTAACATGAACGAAGGAGTTGGTGTATAAGTGAAAGAGTGTGAACATATTTCAAACTCTGAGAATTGTAGAATAGATGTGCAGTGACACAATCATCTATGTTGGTCTGGGATGATGTTATAATACTGAAGTAAGCTGCTGTATGTGCAGTGACACGATTATCTATGTTGGTCTGGGATGATGTTATAATACTGAAGTAAGCTGCTGTATGTGCAGTGACACGATTATCTATGTTGGTCTGGGATGATGTTATAATACTGAAGTAAGCTGCTGTATGTGCAGTGACACGATTATCTATGTTGGTCTGGGATGATGTTATAATACTGAAGTAAGCTGCTGTATGTGCAGTGACACGATTATCTATGCTGGGATGATGTTATAATACTGAAGTAAGCTGCTGTATGTGCAGTGACACGATTATCTATGTTGGTCTGGGATGATGTTATAATACTGAAGTAAGCTGCTGTATGTGCAGTGACTGCTGATTATCTATGTTGGTCTGGGATGATGTTATAATACTGAAGTAAGCTGCTGTATGTGCAGTGACACGATTATCTATGTTGGTCTGGGATGATGTTATAATACTGAAGTAAGCTGCTGTATGTGCAGTGACACGATTATCTATGTTGGTCTGGGATGATGTTATAATACTGAAGTAAGCTGCTGTATGTGCAGTGACACGATTATCTATGTTGGTCTGGGATGATGTTATAATACTGAAGTAAGCTGCTGTATATGCAGTGACACGATTATCTATGTTGGTCTGGGATGATGTTATAATACTGAAGTAAGCTGCTGTATATGCAGTGACACGATTATCTATGTTGGTCTGGGATGATGTTATAATACTGAAGTAAGCTGCTGTATGTGCAGTGACACGATTATCTATGTTGGTCTGGGATGATGTTATAATACTGAAGTAAGCTGCTGTATATGCAGTGACACGATTATCTATGTTGGTCTGGGATGATGTTATAATACTGAAGTAAGCTGCTGTATATGCAGTGACACGATTATCTATGTTGGTCTGGGATGATGTTATAATACTGAAGTAAGCTGCTGTATGTGCAGTGACACGATTATCTATGTTGGTCTGGGATGATGTTATAATACTGAAGTAAGCTGCTGTATGTGCAGTGACACGATTATCTATGTTGGTCTGGGATGATGTTATAATACTGAAGTAAGTTGCTGTATGTGCAGTGACACGATTATCTATGTTGGTCTGGGATGATGTTATAATACTGAAGTAAGCTGCTGTATGTGCAGTGACACGATTATCTATGTTGGTCTGGGATGATGTTATAATACTGAAGTAAGCTGCTGTATGTGCAGTGACACGATTATCTATGTTGGTCTGGGATGATGTTATAATACTGAAGTAAGTTGCTGTATGTGCAGTGACACGATTATCTATGTTGGTCTGGGATGATGTTATAATACTGAAGTAAGCTGCTGTATGTGCAGTGACACGATTATCTATGTTGGTCTGGGATGATGTTATAATACTGAAGTAAGCTGCTGTATATGCAGTGACACGATTATCTATGTTGGTCTGGGATGATGTTATAATACTGAAGTAAGCTGCTGTATGTGCAGTGACACGATTATCTATGTTGGTCTGGGATGATGTTATAATACTGAAGTAAGCTGCTGTATGTGCAGTGACACGATTATCTATGTTGGTCTGGGATGATGTTATAATACTGAAGTAAGTTGCTGTATGTGCAGTGACACGATTATCTATGTTGGTCTGGGATGATGTTATAATACTGAAGTAAGCTGCTGTATGTGCAGTGACACGATTATCTATGTTGGTCTGGGATGATGTTATAATACTGAAGTAAGCTGCTGTATGTGCAGTGACACGATTATCTATGTTGGTCTGGGATGATGTTATAATACGATGTTACCTGCTGTATGTGACGGCTGCTATTATACATACAGTGTTTAGGTCCTAATACTGTATATATGCAGCGTGTATGCATGTTATTGTCAATATGAAAATACTTACTTGGTGTGATAAAGTGAAGCAGCTGTATAAATACTTAAGTATATCTGTGTTAGTGACAATAAAGAGCCATTATTATTTTATTCAGTGTCCTAGGTATAAAGATTAACAAATATATGAGGTTTAAATGTTCATGTAGATATGTAATAGATCACACTGTATACTGTAAGCAATCCGATTAGTGGCTGTTTGCAGTCGTGTTATGGGAACAGGGTTCCAGAGTATTTTCTGGAAGAAACCATATGACATATGTTAAATTCACTGATAAAGTGCCAGTTAATTCGGAAACTATTTTCCAATTTTGGACTTATGTTAATACATAAATGTTTAGGTTGGTTTTGGTCATGCTAACTTGATAATGCTGGAGAGTCCACATTGAAGCCTTGCTATTTATGCACAAAAACTAGAAGTGGTCATCCATAGAACTGAACCTTTTTATGTTGTTGTTTTGAACCTATTATTTAACAAAATGTAGCACATTTACATTGAAATTCAGATTGTGCTTCATGATGCATTGCTTCAGTTTTTTACGGGGTTTTTTAACGGATTTCTTGCATACCACATAACAAAACTATTGTGAAAATATAGTTGCAGGCAACGATGAGGTCTCCTTGGCTTTAGTTCTATCTATTGTATCTGAGGGCTAGATATCATCGTCGGAGCCAGAACACGTGTTTTGACAGAGGAGCGGATCTTCCAAATACAGCCGGGGTCGCGGGGGGTCATGTACCTTTTAAGAAGTTCCGGAGAAGAAATAGTTCCCTCTTTAAAAGGCTGTATTTCAGTTGTTCTTGGGTCTACGGTCAAAACAATTAGTGTTCTGGAATCACCAACACATAATCTACTAAACTGGCAGAATTTGCACATTTTGGGAGCAAACTACTCAAAAAAGTGCTGAAAAACATGGCCAAAAACTGAAAACAAAATAACTGCCAAACGGTACGTTTTAGCGACTTGACCCGTCCAGGCAAAATTGTTGGGAATTCGATTGTGCACCTGTACAAGAAATTTGGAAGTGTTGGAACAATTAGTTCTTGATATATTTGCTGTCAAACGTTGAAATTTTGGAATTAATTTTGAATTATTTCCCTTTTGCTATTGGGCCAAGAGCCTAGAGATTTTTAAGGGGAATATCTACACCTTTGTGCGCATCAGTGTGATTTTTTGTAAGCGATTCAGAGCATTGGTTTAGGAGTTATGTTTGGTACAAAAATCGGCGGAATAATAATAAATAATTCCTCTCTGTCAACCTGTCAAAAAAAGAAGAGAAAAATGAAAGAGAACTTTTCACTTCTTAAAATTTCATTTCCATCACTAAGTCACCTACTTAAGAATGAAAATCTCATTAATTGCCAAAACTCTGATGACACTGTCACAGTTACAGCTAATTGATGCCCAGAGTTGGTTTTGTACTTTCACCTTTTTCATATTCTATATTACCTTCCATATATTTCTCTTCCCTAAAAATGTTATCACTATTACATGTTCTTATACAACAACCATTCAGTGTCTTGTGTTGGATTTTACAGTAGTTCACTGAATAAAATGTTTGAGCCATGTAATTTCATATGGTTGTTTATATTTCTTTAAAAAATCCAATTAACTCTTTAGGAAACTCATGATTACTTTTCTTTGCATTCATTTTTTTTGTATGAGATTATTGGGTGGGGAACATTTGATGCACTGGGTCAAGATCACAATTGGTATAATATATGTTTTTTTCATGTTTGAGGTGGGATGAGGACGTGCAAGCTGGGGCAGTGATGTAAGGAGTGAACGATTGTGTTGTGCATATGTGGAATGAGAGACCATTGTATGTCTGGGAAGTAAGCTTGGGATCAATCAAGTCAGGTATAAGCTGGGGGGTATATAAGGACTCATTTGAATGGTGAGGGTTTCCAAGCAGTTGGAAGTTGTATGTAAGTGGCAGGTTTTCTGTTTTTACTGTATATTTGACTAGTGTGAGTATTATAATTGTATGCTAGTTATGGTTTAATTAGAATATGTCAATGAATTGTTTATATATATACATAATATATATTTAGAATGAATGCTATTTCACCTTAAAGTATGTAACCCTAACTCTCCTTAGTTCAGGTGATATTGTGTTTAATATTATTGATGAAGTTAATAATATGATGACACTGTAGTTGATATACAATCATGTTATGATGTCACTAAGGTAGTATAGTGGCGTAATGATAATATGCAGTCATCAGGTTGTGTGTAATCTATTGTGGTAAAACTGTGTTTGTGGTAGTAAGGCAAGTATCAGTAAAACACTCCTGTAAATATATCCTGTATATGTGAAATATGTGTATATGCAGATGTCCATTTAGTATGGGTAAAGTCACAGAGTACATCCAGTGTCCGAGATAGGTGACACATCCCATAAGGCTGTCCCAACTGATTGACAGGGATCGAACCCGACATTTTTGTGTTTGTACTGTGACATCTCGGCTGTCTGGGGGATTTGTCCCCACTGATTTTTAACATTCCTTATGATGTGTATAGTATTATTTTCTGAACTGTTTTGTGTGTTTTTTTAAAACATTTGTAATGTTATGATATTTCAAGAGTTCATGTGAATGGTGGGGTACGAT